AGTGGGCTGTTGACAAACATGAATGGAATCAATGCAGAGGGCCAGCCAGAATCACAGTCCTGGCTCTGCCTCTCACTGTCTAGAGACCTTGGGCAAGTCAATTCCCTTCTCTGAGGCTCAATGTCCCCATCTGCAAAGTGGGAATAATGAAAATGCCTACAGCCTAGGGTGGTCGGAGGTCAGCAGGAGCACAGGTTGAGAGCCGGGCACACAGAAGGCAGTCCATAAGCAGTTGCCAGAATGGTTCCGCTTCCAGTGAGGGAACAGCATGAGCGAAGGATGATAAGAGGCTAGCGGTCAGTCAGAGAGGACTCACAGGAGGGGCAGCCGGAGCCAGATGGAAAGGGACTCCCAAATCTGTGCCCAGTTGCCCTCTCAAGGCAGGCAGTGGGAAACCTGTACATGTTCTGAACTCCAAAGAGCAGCCCCTGTCCAGGGGGCCCTTCCTCAGGCAGCCAGGGAGGTGGTGAAATGGTCATTGCAGGAGAAGCATCCCCTGATCTCTTGCCCCCTTCTTCATCCTTCACCCCCAAAGCCCTCACCTCTTTCCAGGTTTCCTGGCCTTGGCCCGAATCCTATACTCCTCAGCTGATCCTGCCAACCTCATCTCCAACCCAAGACCCACCCAGCCCTGGCCCAGCTGACGCCTACTTCTTATGCTCACACCCTGGCCTTTCCCACATGGCCCAGAGGGACCTTTCTGTCTTCTATTAGGAAGGCCTTGTACTACTTGGAAAACTTTTGTTTGATGGTAATGCCAAAAAATTCATAACTGGTGAAAAGTAAGCACTGTTTCAGGCATAAGCAAGCACATAGCATGTGGGTAAATACGTGGGTCTGCACACACCTTTGAAACACAAATGCCAATCTCCTATGTCAGAGGGATCTCTCTAACACAGAGATCCTCACTGCCCTCCGCAAACCAGGTAGCTGTGAGGCCAGAGGTGGGGAACTGTGAAAGCTGCACTAATGCAGAGCTTGTTGGTGTGAGGTGGAGGTGACTGGTCCTAGGTGAAGGAGAGAGGCTTGGCAAGGACACCCAGGGTCATCCTGAGATCCTCCTCCTCCTCCAAATGCCTCCATCTGTCAACTTCTCCTCAATTCAACCCAAAGATGTCTGAACCCCTCTGCTCCTCCCACTGTGCCTCCTACTCAGGACTTACTCCTCCCCAACTGGCCCGGCCCCGCCCCAGCCCGTACTGTTGCATGGGTTCTTCCTCACCTGCTCCACAAATGTCCCTTGAACCCCATATATGTGGCAAGCAATGAATCAGGGACCAGTGATGTCACGGCCCCTGCTCTGGGGAGCTGACAATGGACATGGACCCAGGCGTATTGAATCCATGCCCCATATTCCTTAAAGCATGACCCTGGTCGGGCCTCTCTCCCGCCCAGACCGAGAGGAAAAATCTCGGCACCCTAGACCTGCCCACGTCTGCAGCTTCGACTTCCCAAGACACCGTGAGAAGGTGAGAAGAGGGGCAACCATGTTTCCCAGCGTGAAGATCCTGCCCTGAACTCCCTCCCTAGGATACAGAGGACCCTGGGCTTTCGAGGCAATATAATCCACAGGGGAGGCTGTAAACACCCTTGGAGCAGCTCACTTTTCAGGGGAAACCAAGGCTCAGGGCCGGCATGACTTGAGCAAAGCCACACAGCTCGTCTGTAGCAGACAGACAGACCCCACCCCTCAGTTCCCCAGACTTGTTTGAACTCCCCTAGGCACTGACACTGCCAAGAGAAAGAAGAGGGGCTTAAGACCCTTTTTCTGCATGTTCTGCTGATGTTCCAAGGACCTGAGCCTCCGCTTCTTTCTATGGCTGTGGGAGGGGAGATGAACCAAGAGAGATGGGGCCAGACAAGGGATGTGGGGCGCAAGCAGGGTAGAAAAAGACAGAGTGAAAAGCATGCAGCAGGACAGAGAAAAGAGAGGTGCAGGGAAAGAGTAACTGGGGACTATCAAGGTAGAACAGAGAAGTATATGGAGGTTTTTAAATCCCTGGAGGGAGAGGCAGCAATAAAGGAAAGAGAGTCAGAGTGAAACAGAGAGACAGAGACAGGAAGATGCAGATAAAGAGGCAGAAACAGAGAACAGCAGAAAGAGAGACAAAGAAAACAGGAGAGAAAAGAAAGAGGGAGGGAGGGGAAGAGCAAGCTGACATGGGGCCACCAGGGCCTTCTGTAAATTGCTTCCCAACACCCTCTCCTCTGCCCCTCACACCAGCAGTCCAGCAGGGTGTGTGGTGTCATCCCCATCCCTGAAGGGACTGCTCTGGGCAGAGCTGAGACTGATGCATGGGAAGGTGTCCAGCTCCCGGCCCTCTCTCTTCTCCTACACCCAGCTGCCTCCCAAAGAAAAGGGCCAAGTTCAGTGTGGAAGGAGCAGAGACAGGTCCTGGGGGACTGAGAGCTGAAGTGCTGTAACCAGGGGCAGAGGGGCTGCAGCCTGTCTCCCCTCTCCAGGCACTGGTCCCCACAGACACCCTACTGTTCTTGTCCCTTGCTGGCTGCTAAGGGACAGGCTTTGGCTATCCTGACTTTGGCCAATGCCTCCCTCAACCTGTGGCCATCGTCTCCCTGCCTGGCGACCCCAACACCCTCCCATACCTCCTCCTACCCATCCCTGTGCCCCCCAAGACCACCCATCCCGTGACCACCTTTCTGCTCCTCTGCAGGTTTGGGGTTAGGGAAGGGAGCACAGAGGCCTAGATGGGGGGTGGAGGGCTTGGTGGATTATTGAAGATGTGCGGGCACTGCAGCTGACATGGATGAGGAGGAAGAGGAGGGGGTCTTGGTGATGGACGATGCTGATCCTGCGGTGGGGGGAATGGCGGGGGAGGGGGTAGGGGGGGGTGGGGGGGGGGTGGCTAGGAAGCAGGTTGTGGGGGGAGCAGGACCAGGCTCACATTTGGCATTCAGGGCAGCTGACAATAAAAATGCTTTATTGCCAAGAAACTGGATCGATCGGGGCTGGAGGGGGCCGGCAGGGGGGACGCGGAGGGCTCAGCGCAGAGGCCGGCGGCCGGCCTTCGCAGCGACCAGGGCCCGAGCCGCCCTCCCCCCTGCACCCCCCTCCCCGCCTCCTGCCCTTTCTCTCTCCTGCAGCCACCGCTTAGTTCTTATTATATTTTTTCTTATATATTTTTTCCCCCAGCTTCTCCTGCTCCTGTTTTTTTTTTTTCTCTTTTAATTTTTTTTAAAACTCGCTGCACTCCCAATGCCGCAGGCCGGGTGGGGGCGGGGTGGGGGCATCTGCCTGGGCCAGGCCCCTATCCACAGGGTGCCCAGAACTGCTGGCTCTGGGATGAGTCCCACTTTGCTTCTGTATCCCCCAATCCAACCAGGTTCCTCCTAGAGCCTGTCTTCTGTGGGTGCCCATCTCCCCCTGCCACCCCTCCTAGGGGCCTCCTTCCAACCTCAGAGCACCCACACACACATATCCGTGGTGGGCTGAGGGCCCTGGCCAGGCCTTCCTCCCCTCCCCCCTACCTGGCCCCCTGCTCAGTCCTGGAGCCATTTGGCTGATGGTCAGAACTGTCCGTCAAGGGGGCTCTGAGCCCCTGGGGACCCAGATGGGAGGAGGGAGGGGGAGAGGTCGGGGGTCAGGCCACGTCCCCTCAGCTTGTCTCTTTCCCCTCCCCCTTCCTAACAAAGGGAGCATCGGCCTGATACTGGCGGGATGGCCTGGTACTCAGGGAAGCGGGGAGGAGAGGGGCTGTGGGGATGGCCATGGGCAGAAGGCGGGGGTGGGGGCCGCCTACCCCTCCTCTGCCCTCCCCCTCGGGTCAAGGCTAAGGTGATTCCTCAACCTCTCGGAGGCTGGGCTGGGAGGAGAGGAGGATCTGGACAGACAAAGAACTGGAGCCCTGGGGAGTTGGGGGCTGGGGGGACGCACCTGGGACCCGGGCAGTCCTGGCTGAGGGAGGGGCAACAGGCACCCCTCTGGCCCTGCGCTCACCCTCTGGATGGCCCTGCCTCCCATCTGCACCAATCCCTACGGATCTCAGAGCCATACAGACCTTCCAGCTTGGGCAGGGTCGGATGGGGGTGGGGGGAAACTGAGGCCCAGAGAGGCGAGACAGCCTAGGCCCAGGGTTCTCAGCGCTGTCCCAGAGTCTCGCCCCTCACTTCTCTTCCTACTAAGGGAAGACATCTTCCTTTCCTGCCGTTCCCCACCCAGGTCAGGGGAGGTTTGGTGGGGGCAGATGGTAGAAGGTTCTATGGAGAGGGAAGAGGAGGCTGAGGAAAAAAAGCGGCTAAGCGTTCTCCTCTCTTAAGCCAGTGGGCAGGGGAGGAAGCCAGAAAAGATGTCTAAATGTGACCTCGAGCACTGGCCTGGCACAGCTGTGGGAAGAAACTTAACGTCCGTCGGAAAGGGCGGGAAACCAACATAGACAGGGTGCTCCTGAGTACCTGGCTCGAGGTGGCTGGGGAAGAGGCCTTCAGTTTTCCCCTTTGGGAAAATGTGGCCCATGGCCACAGGGAAGGAGGAGGATTCACACTCTGGTTGGTCACGATCCACCCATAACACTGCGTCAGGGCCTCCCATCCACAAAGCCCAACTGTGGGGCGCAAAGGGTAGCTGAGGCAATGAACAGCTGTGAGCCTCCATGCCCATAGGGATAAGGAGCCTCCAAAGAGACAGAAGGAAACAGGCAGATCTTCTGTACTTAAATTCTCCTATGAAGGCTGAGGTGGCTCTTGGCTGAGAGGGCCGCAGCCAAGAGGAAGAGGGGGAGGATAAGGCGGGCCTCTTTTGGAGGGGGTGGGATGGGCTCACACATGCCCCCACAGCCTGCCAAGAAGGCCCCAGATGGGCCAAGGACTACAGGGGTCCCGGCTGCCCTCCCCCAAACCTCCCCTCCCTTCTCTCCCTCTCTCTTTCTCGGCTGGCTATCGACCGGGGCTGTGACATGGTGGATCAATACGGCAGGGATATAAAGCCGGCTGGCTGGCTGCCTGCCTCTGCCTCTCTCTCTCTCCCTTGCTTGCCTTGCTTCCTTTTCCTGGAGCCGCACCCAGGTCCCCCACCATCATGTACCCCTTACCCAGGCCTCTGAGGGGCCAGGCACCCCCCACCACTCCCCTACAGCAGGAGAGCTTAGGGAGGCTGAGAGCTTGGACAGCCGGGAGAGGGGGTGAGTATGGGAGTGGGCAAGGAAGCAGATGGGGATGGGGGCCACAGTTTCAGGTAGGGGGCTGGGATAAATTGAGGGACAAGCCCCCTGGGAGAAAGCAGGCATCCCCTCAATTGGGAGCAGCTCAGGTAGATGGGGCCCTTTGAAGGTGTGTAACGGGCAGAGCTCTGGGAGGTGGGCAGGGGGCACCTGCGGGTCCAGAGAGACACTGTCCTGAGTCTGTGAGGCAGGGGAAAGTCTGGGGGGTGCTGGAGTAGCCTATGGTGAATGGACGCAAAGAACAGTGGGGCGACTCCTCAGGCCAGCCTGCGCCTACCCACAGAGCTGCCGGCTGCCCCGCCTTTGGGTCCCAGTGGGTAGAAGCTACCTTGGCCTCACCCCAGGGTCTGGCCTGCACATGTGTGGTGGGGGTGGGAGGCTTGTGTGGCTTCGGACAGGAGGTTCCAGCGAGAGGTCTGTGGTGTGCAAGCTGCCATGGACGCAGGGTGTGCATGTGTCCTCAGGCTCTGCTGGGAGACTCTGGGACTGCACATACCCGAGCGTCTTGGCCCTTGAGTCATGTCTGTGTGTGACCATGAGTTCATGGATGTGTCCCAGGAGCACTGGGTGGCTGTGTATGCACTTCCATGAGTGTTTCCTTGACCCTGGGTATCCCTATGTCTCTGTCTGTCCCTTGGGGATGTATCCCAGGAGCACCTCAGGGATCTGTCTCCTCTGTCCCCAGTTAATGGGGTAGCTGTGTGTTCCCAAGTGCTCTTGGAAGCCTGTGTGTGTTGGCGTGCGCGTGCCCCTGCCAGAGTGTGTCTGAGCACCGATGCTGCTATGCGCGAGCCTCCATGGGTCCCGTGTGGACCCATGCCTGTGCCTGTGGGCAGCTGTGTGTGCTTCAGGGATCTGCGCGGTGGTCTCTGTGTGTACTGGAAGCGCATTCTCCTCATGAGTGTCAGAGAGTCCATATGGTTTCTCTGTGTGTCTATGTGATGTTGTGTGTCCCTGTGTGCCGATGGTCGACTGTGTTTCCACAAGTGGGCTGGAGGCTCTGGGTGTGTCCCTGTGTGTGTCATGGTGACTCGGTGTACATGGCAGGGTGTGTGTGTGTAGAGGCTACAACTCTGAGTCTCTGAGTGGGGGAGGGTGGCGAGGCAGCAGGGGCTGCCACGGAGACACTGGCTAGCCTGTTTTATCACTACATCATCTCCAAATCCCAATGTCAGGGCCTGCCTGCCTTCTTTCCCTTCCCTGCCAGAGACCCCAGACCCCTGCCAGGATGGGCCCAGGCCCCCACCTCCCCGCACCTTGGGCAGGCTGTAGCTCTGCTCCTCAACACCCCTGCTTTGGTGGATGCCACCTCAACTCCACCAAGCGACCTCCGTCCCTCCCAACCCCCCCAGCGCCACCCGCTCCCCCCGCCCTCCCCCCACCACAAGTCCAGTCCAACCCAGACAAAAGCAATTACTCCAGAGGTAGGATGTGAGTGTGGGTGTTAGAAACAGGAAAAAAAGGGGGGGCAGGGAGGGGGAGCGAGAGAGACACACACAGAGGCAGGGATGGACAGCCAGAGACCCCGAGAGACGACAAGAGAAAGAGAATGGCAGAGTGAGAGACAGAGGGACACACAGAGAGATGCACAGAGAAGCAGAGACAGAAGATGAAAGAGACTAGAAGGGACACAGACACCAAAACCAGGAGGCAAAAGCAGAGAAAAAGAGCAGAGGAAGGGCAAAGGCAGAGAGCACGACAGAGAGACACAGAGACAGAGACTGGAGAGACAGAGAGAAACAGAGAAAGAGCACACAACAGAGCGGAAACCCAGTGATGGAGCCACACAGAGAGAAGACGCAGATAAAGAGAGAACGGGGGCCAGAGGCAGGGAGAACTAGAAAGGGGGCAATGCACAGAGAGGAACAGAAAGGCTGAGTGAGAGTGAGAGACAGAAAGGAGACCAGAGAGATAAAAGGCAGACGGCAGATAGTGGTGGAGGGGAGTTGGTAACGCACTAGAGACTCTGAGATGGCAAAGCTAGAGAGAAGCTGAAAGGGGACCATGTCCAAAGTGACCTCTCTCTCTCTCTCTCTCTCTCACTCTCTCTCACACACACACACACACACACACACACACACACACACATAACCCTTTCTCCCCATTCCCCAGGCCAGAAGTCAGGGATGCTCAAGCCTTTTCCATGTTCCTCTGAGTCCCTGTGAGCCAGGGTGGGGAGGGGACAGGATGAATGGACAGGGATGATCTCAGGTAGCTTCAGGGACCAGCCAGAGCCAACTGGGACCTGATCACAGGGGCAGAGAGAGCAGTACATTCCTCCTTACCACACACCACCACCTCACCCTCCACACACAGTCCACACACACCAGAGCCTTAGCCAATTTCCTCGTACTCTGCCAGGCATGGCCAGCCTGGGGGGTAGGGGCCAGGTGTGAGGTCCTTCCTTCCTGCCCCACAGTCCTGCCCACCTGCCTCAGCTGCAGCTGCCCCGAACTGTTTTTTTCTTTCTTATTGTCCCCTGCCTTCATCCCAGCTGCCTTCATCTTTCTCTGACGCACTCTCACTCACTCAGCTCGCAAGCACGCTCCCTCTCTTTCTCTCTGTTCCTTTCTGTCTCTGAGTCCCTCACTCTGCTTTCCTGCCTCTGACTTTTCTGCTGTTCCCTCTTCCTCTTTGCTCCTCTCCATTGTTCCATTCCCCTCTCTGTGTTTCTCTGTGCTTGCTCTCTGGGTCTTCCTCTCCCTCCACTCCCATCTGGTGTATTCTGGATTCCCCTTTCTTAGACAATCCCTCTGGCCCTCCTATCCACCTCATCCCCAAGAAAAGCAAGGTTGGGCACAGTGGTGGTCCTAGCCTGTAGTCCCAGCTACATGGGAGGCTGGGGCAGGAGGATTGCTTGAGAGTCTGAGAAACGCAAAGGTGGATCACTGTGTAAAGGACCTCAAGCTGTCCTGGAGTGCCAGGAGTGGGTAAATACTTCCTTTCTTGTTTTTCCCTCAATCACCTTTTTTCCTCCTCTCTTTCCTCCCCTGCCTCGCACCCATACCAGGCCCGATCTCTGGATCTCCCCAATCTCCAGATCTCAGTGTGGCTCTCTCTGGAGACAAAAGCTAAGACTCAGCCCACAGGCAACACTCAACACAGAGATCCAGCTCAGAGAAAAAGGAGGTGACCAGGGAGGAATGGCGAGGCCAAGACCTATAATGAAGACCGAGAAAAAGAAGAAAGATGATGCTGGGGCTGGAGCCAAACGGAGAGGAAGAGGAAAGGAAGGAAAGCCAGGAGCAGAGACCCGGTAGGGCAGCGTGAGCCCAACAACTGCAGGGTGGGGGTGGGGCACGCATCAAGATTTCTAACAAGCACAGCTGAAAACATCCAGGGCTGTTCTCTGAGGCCTTCTCTCTGCCTACCAGCCCTCACCAGTGCTTCGAAGAGCCCCGAGGAATGTCTCTCTATTTGAAGTCAGAGCCAAGTGCCTGCTCTTGGCACCTGGGGCTCCATGCTTACTAGGATGGTGGCTACTTGACCTTCATTTGCTGTGGGACTGTCAGGGATTCCAGGGACCCACTGGTCCCCGAACTAGCTCAGAGATGCAAGCCATTTTTACCTCCTATGCATCTACAATCCCCACCCCACGGCTGACAAATATTCCCAGTCCACAGCTGTCTCCACCCACCCAGTGACAGAGCACAGGCAGCCAAAAGGATCAAGCAATCTCTTGCCACCTCCCAGCACCCCAGAGTGGTAAACAGACCCTCACATCTGGACTCCACATCCAGCGAGTAGTGCCCCTGCCCACTACCCAGATCACACAGCTGCCATTTACAGACCACCCTATGGGTCCCACCCCACAGTCACAGCCCACCAGGATCCCAGAGCGGCCTCTACACTGAAGCTCTGTCCCAGTCCAGTCATCCTTCAAGCCACATCTGGAACAGCACACACCCTATTCCCCTAGCCAAAGCTCCCAGGGGTGCAATTCAGAAGGAGGCAGACTGGGCCTGGGGCATGCAGACAAGTCCCTGACGTCACCCCCTGGCTTCTTCGGCTTGTCTGCGGAACCTGAACTGCCCTTAAGGCCTGCGCCTCCGACCCCAGGGCAGCCCCCTGCCACACCTACACTCTTGGCCGTGGGAGAATGTCCTCATGTGCGGCTAAACATCCTCCTCATGCAGCCCTGAGTTCTGTTCCTTCCACATCACCTCACCAGCCCAGGATGAAAGCCGCTCACCTAGAGCGAAGCTTCTGCTTCCGAGGCATTCAGGACTCCCCTCGGGGTATGCCAGCACCCTGGGGCACATCCCTGCTGCTTATGTCTGAGTTACCTCTGTGGCCCTGGGACCACTCCACATTGAAGTCCGTTGTGTCTTTTTATGGAAGGATGGAAGGACAGAAGGGAAGGAGAGACAAAGTGGTACCACAGCCCTGCTCCTGCCCTGGCACTTGGAGGGCACCAGATGCCCAGGGGACTGTAGCTGGCTGTGAGGACTCTGAGGCCAGGTCAGCATCCACAGTCCCCAATAGTGAGTAGGAACCCAGTCAGTCCACACCCCTTCCCATCCACCCGAAACATAATTTAGCCCTCGGCTTCTCCTTACCTTTCAGGAGTTCTCTCCTTACCCCCAAAGACTTCCTGAGGACCCCCTAGGCCGACCAGTCTATCCCTCTCTCCCCTAACCCAGCATCCTGCAGTCCCCTGGTTCAAGTTGGTGGTGTCTGTGCCTGAGCCCCCACCAGCCTGAAAGCCCCTCAAAGGCCACATGGGTCTCCCGCCTCTCTGCATCTCCAGATGGTGGCACGAGGCCTAGTACACAAGGAATCCCAGAAAATGTTGGTTGAAGGAATAAATGGATGGATCTGCGTTGATGTGTCTGTTTGCTCACTTATTTATTCATTCAACTCACGCTTGCTGAGCACTTACACTGTGCCAGGGACTGAGTGTAGACAGATGTGTTAGACAAACAGAGAGGTTCTTTTGCCCAGTGGCTTCTGGGGGCAGACATTAAACATACAGAATATAATCAGATATGGTGATAGTGCTCAGGAGGGAAAAGGAGGCGTCATCCAGCCCAGGGGTCAGGAAAGGCCCTCAGAGTTGAGGAGCCTTAGATGGAGAGCTGAGGAGGTAGAGAAGTAAAGTCAACCCAGAGTGGAGAGAAGGCCCTGGCATGGGTGGGAAGAGATTTGGAGGAAGGGCCAGAAGGGAGAGGAGGAGGGGGAGTCACATGGGAGTGCGGGCAGCAGAGGCAACCATGACCCCAGGGCTGGGAGGGGATCTCTCGCTCATCCTGGAGCTCCAGCTCCCACACAGAGCATTGAGGGCCTCCAGACATGTTTGGGGCATCACTCACCTTCCAAGTGTGGCTATAAAGGAAAGACAGAGCAGGTGGGGGCAATGTTTATTGTAGTTGTTTCGTAACAAAACTATACACCTAAAAGAGTATGGCTTCCTTCAAAGATGTCTCCTCAGGAGGCTGAACTTTTTCTTGAACCATCTGATATTTTGGCAACAGCCTTCAAGGCCAGTTTACAAACTCCATCAGCAAAGCGTCTCTCTAGTGTATAATTGTCTCCAGTTTCTACTGAGAGACCAACAAGTGGCCCCAGTATTATCATTGCTAAATTCATCAGAGCTGCTGCTAAATCAGACTTCAGGTGGTGTCCGAAATCAAATTCACTCCCAAAGTACAAAAATTTGCCGCACTGTGGAGATACCAAAAACTAGGGTGGGTTTTGGTGAGGTAAAAGAATGAGAGCTTTAAGGTCAGGCAAACCCAGGTTCAAATTCTGACTCTACTGCTTACATGTTGGGTGGCCTTAGGCAAGTTGCCTTCACGCTCTGTGCCTCAGTTTCTTTCTCTTGTAACAGGTGCCAACGCCCACTTCACAGGGTTGCAGTGAGGATTAAAAGCAAAGTGCCCAAAACAGGCCCTCGCACAAAGGTGGCCCCTAATAAATATCAGTTTCCTCACTGGAATGTACTGGCCCTGTTACTAGTTACCAAATCAGTCACCCACATGTCCGTGAAATCATGGATATTTAATGAACACCTATTTGAAGACAAATAACTGAAATCATAGACCTAACTGTAACCTCTACCAACTGGAAACATAATTAAACCCCTCTGTTACTTCAGCCTAACTTTCAGACATTCCTCAAAGCCAGTCTCTAGCTCCCAAACTAATTCTGCAACCTGGAAACTCCTTGACTCTCTTTTCAAGGATGTGAGGATTCCTGGAAAAGCTGCAACTTCAGTTCCCTGGAGAAAGCACACTAGAGAAATGACACATCCCGGAACGAATACTCTCAGCGATAACAGGGGTCCATGAATGAGCTTCAGGGGGTCTGTGATCATCCCAAAGTATAGCACAACTGGGTATATGTAGGGATGTGTTTTCCTAGGAGAAGCTCTATACTGTTGCGAAACTTGGTATCTATGGGCCAAAGGTTGCCTGAAACATGTGGTTTGGACCACAAGGAGATTTTGGAAGTTTTGCATTAGTTGCCAACATTTAAAGGTTGGAAGACTTCACACACAAGTCTGGGATTCTGGCTTCTTTTGAAAAATCAGAAACCCTGGCAAGTCAAGGTTGCATCTGTGCATGAGAACAGTCAGAGGAGCTAAAAAGCAGTCCCCCACCTCATGCATTTTTCAGTCCATCACAGTCCCTACAATACTGGGTTGTAAACCCTGGGCTACAGCTTCCATCTGCTTCTTAAAATAGGTCTGTGATTCCTGGTACAGCAGAGGACTCCTGGGTAGGAGTCCTTCAAGGGCACCCAGAGGCCTCCCCAGGGTCCTGAGACCTGTGGGTTAAACTTCTCTGGTGGGAACAGGGGTGGCAGAAGAGGGCTGTCCCACCCCAGAAGACCTGTCCACCCTCCTCCCTAGATGCTCATTGCCAAGACCTCACCAAGCCAGCTGGAGCAAACACCAGGGCAAATGGCCAGAGCTCCTGCTTCCCACAGAGGTGAGCAGCAGAACTACGGCTTCTACCTGGGAGTCTCAGTAGGCTTCAGGGAGGGGCTTCATAAAATTTTCTTTGTTCAGGGGAACGCTTCCAGCCATATTTTGAGCTCCCACTTCTCCAGCTACACGATTCCAGTGAATAAGTACTTTCATCTTCACGCCACCTCCATGTGGCAAATGCTATTAATTACCTTCCTTTGACATATGGGGAAACTGAGCCATGCCCAGGATCACTCAGCCACCTGTTCTTCTTCCTCTATCTCCTTTTGCTCTCAGGATGGCACTTCAGGTGGGTTCTATTAGTATTCCTACTTACAGATAAGGAAATGGAGGCTCCAACTTTCCCAAGTCCCGTGAAGTCAGGAAAAGAGATTCGAACATAGGTGTGTTTGACCCCAAAGCTGTGATCTGAGCCACCGAGTTACCCCTATCTCTCGCCTACTGAGCCCTAACACTCATCAGCAGAAACACCCACAGTTACCAACACCAAGAACCACTGGTTTGGCCCGAAAGCCACAGGATGCGTGGAGGGTGAAAACAGAGCAGTCACATTCTAACCTCTGGGTGGGCAGAGTGGAGAAGAGCAGCAACACACCCAGGGTGAGTCCAGAGACGAGAATGGGAAAGCAGAGACTTCTGTGAGAAAACAGAAGGTGCATCAATAAGCAAAACTCTGAGGCCATGGTCCTTACCTCTTGGGCAGACGCAGCGAAGCTAATACATTCAGGCCACCAACCCGGTCCAGTCGAGAACCTGGAGAGAGAGGAGAATGCAGTCAACATCCTGGAGAATTCGTCTCATCCTCATGCGGGATTCCGCATTCCTCCAGTGGAGGAACCCTCCTCCTGTCACGTCATCAGGAGCTGCAGTTGGCAAACTGTGGAGTCAGGTGCCTGGGACTCAGGTCCAGTGAGCCACTTGTTGCCTTCAGTGGTCACTTCTGGCATCTGAGTCTCAGTGTCCCCATCTCATAGATGGGCATACTGGTACCTGCCACTGTGGAACATCATTTTTCCCATCAGACTGGAAGCTTCTTAAAGTGCAGGGACTGTGTCTTGTAGCTTTTGTGTTTGGCAGAGGGCCTGGCAAATTTGAGATGCTCAATTAGTGCATAACGGATGACAGAGTGAATGGGTGGGTGGATGGAGGAATTAATTGATTAAACTGTGTATCTCAAAGGACTGCTAGGAGGATAAAATGAGACAGAAATTTGAAAGGGTTACTCATTATTAAGTTCCTCTGTGCTGTGGGGAGATTAAAAATAAAAGTCATAATGATATTTCTGACTGGTACATTTGTCCATTCATTTGTGCATTTAGTTCATCAACAAATATCGAGGCTTCTCTGGCTCTGAATCAAGTGTGGCAGGGGACAGAGATGAATTAGACAAGGTCTCTGTTCTATTATGGGGCTCACAGGCAAGTTGAGGAGACAGAAGGAAGAGCCAATGCCAACACGCTGGAATAAGCAGAGGGTGCTGCGGGCATCCTGGGTGAGATCACAGAAGACTTAGGGAGGAAACAACACCCAAGCCAAACCTGGAAGACAAATTTTAGTCAGAGAAAGAACCAAGTGCAAGGAACGAGAATGCCAGGACTTTGCCTGTCCAGGGTTCAGTAAGAGAACTGGGGACAGACGAGGCTTCTAGATTGCAGGGGCTGCTCCTTGCAGGGCCTCAAGTGCCTGGTCCAAGCAGCCAGGGCTTCGTTGGAGAGGGAGAGGGAGACGGATACAATCCAGTTTGCCTTTGGAAAGGTCCTTCTACCTCCTGTGTACAAGATGGAGAGAACAGAGAGGCAGGCAAGAGATCAGGAGGCCCATCCCCAAAGAGGGTTTGCTGAGCCTCTCCACAGCCCTGCAGGAAGGAGGAGTGAGGAATTAAGGGAGACACCAGAGTTCAAGAGGTGGAGGAGGACAGAGAAAAAGATGGACTGAGAAGGAAGGGCAGAGAGAAAGAGAAGAGATGGGGAGACATAGACAGAGAGGAATGAAAGAAGCTGGGGCAGAGAGACCAGGGAAAAGCCCAAACAAGAAGCAAAAGGGGAGTAAAAAGGGCCAAGGGTCTCCCCACTTCCTCTTCCATCTGTCCTGTCTCTCCCTGGGCCTTCATCTTCAGGGGCAGAAGGGGACCAGAACCCCTGGGCCCTGGAGGGAGGGAGGAGCTGGGGTTGCTCCCCGCCCAGGGGCTGCTTCCCCCCAGCCCCCGCCCTGGAGCTAATCAGCGGCTGTCATCTCCACGGTGAGGTCTTGGTTAAGGAGATTTAGGGCCGGGATCAATAGGAAATTTAAAAATCGATGCAGCGCGCAGGGCAAAATCGATGGCGTTTAATCGCCTTGCCGATTCCCAGTCAAAACAATTAGCCGCGCTGAGTGTTGAACACGGTGGCGACACGGCATTAACCGTCAATATTGGTGTAAGTGATGGTGGGTGGGGCAGGTGAGGGAATCCCCAGGCCTCGAGGGGGGGGGCCAGAGTCAGACAGCGCCTTAGGGCTGGGGTCTTCCCCCAGGCAGTACCCCTACCTTGGGCTTCCCTGCAGCAGGGCCCACACTTCAGTCTCCCTGCCCTCTGCTACCTGGGGCTGTGAAGCTCATAGGCAGCACCATCCCTGGCATATCTGCTTCCAACTCTCATCCCATCTCCCGGGTTCCCAAACCCCAATATGCCCTCTGACAGAGGGGAGAGGACCCCTCTCCCAAGCACACAACACCTCCAAGTAGAGAGACAGTCCATAGGATCTGGGAGCTGTATTCCCAGCAGTGCCTTAAGACTGGGAGCTATTTACAAGATGTCTTCTCCCATTGTACAGATGGGGACTCTGAGGAACAGAGAGGGGCAGCAGCTGGCCCACAGTTAGCAGGCACAGGAAGAGGGGGAGCCAGAATTTGA